TATTTCCTTCCTTCTACTCACTTTGTCCTTTGTCCTTTTTCTAGTTCCTGTAGGTGGAACGTTAGATTGTTTATTTTAGATTTTTCTTATTTTTTTGAGGTCAGCCTGTATTGCTAAAAATTTTCTTCTTAGAACTACTTTGACTATGTCCCATGGGATTTGGGATCATTGTGTTTTCATTTGTCTCAAGGTATCTTTTCATTTCTTCCTTGATCTCATTGTTAAACCGTTCATTGTTTCCTAGCATGTTATTTAGCCTTTGTGTGTGTGTGTGTGTGTGTGTTTCAGTTTTCTTCTTGTAACTGATTTCTAGTCTCATACCATTGTGATTGGAGAAGATGCTTCATATGATTTCAATCTTCTTAAATTTATTGAGCCTTGTTTTGTGGTCTAACATGTGGTTATCCTGGAAAATGTTCCATGTGCGCTTGAAAAGAATGTATATTATTCTTCTTTTGGGTGAGAAGCTCTAAAATTATCAATTAAGTCCATCTGGTCTAATGTGTCATTTAAGGCTACTGCTTACTTGTTGATTTTTCTGTCTGGATGATCTGTCCATTGGTGACAATGTGGTGTTAAAGTCCCCTACTATGACTGTATTACTGTTGATCTGTCCCTTTATGTATGTTAGGAATTACTTTATGGATTTAGGTGCTCCTATATTGTGTGTGTAAATGTTAACGAGAGTTATATCCTCTTGTTGGATTGATGCCTTTATCATTATGAAATGCCCTTCTTTGTCTCTTGTTATAGCCCTTGTTTTTAAAGTCTTTCTACCTCCTGGTTTTTTTTTCATTGCCATTTGCATGAAATACCTTTTTTTATCTTTTTACTTTCAGTCTGTGTATGTCTTTCGATCTGAAGTGGGTCTCTTGTAGGCAGCATATGTACAAGTCTTAGTTTTTTAAATCCATTCAGCCACCCTGTCTTTTGGTTGGAGCATTTAGCTCATTAACATTTAAAGTAATTATTCATAGGTATGTAGTTATTCCCATTTGATTGTTTTCTGATTGTTTTTGTATTCTCTGTTCCTTTCTTATGCTCTTGCTCTCTTCTCTTGTATGTTGTTAACTTTCTATAGTGTTGTTTTTCGATTCCTTTCTCTTTGTATTTTGTGTATCTCTTGTAGATGTTCGGTTTGTGGTTACCATGTGCTTCATACATATCAAGCTATGTTTATAGCAGTCTTTTTTAAGGTGATGGTCACTTAAGTTTCACACATTCTAAAATCACTACAATTTTTACTCTCCCCTTTGTTTATGGTTTTGTCCTTATTTTTTACTTCTTTGGTGCATGTGTTTGTGTGTATCCCTTTATTTGTTAATGTAATTATACCTGGTCTTCCTACTTATGCTTTTAACCTTTGTACTTTATAGTTGGTTGATCCACTGCTTTTACTAAGTGTTTGCCTTTGTCAGTGAGAATTTTTTCCTTTCCTATATTTTCTTATTCATATTTTTTATCTTTTCTTTTTTACTTAAAGAAATCCCTTTAACATTTGATGGCGATGAATTCCTTTGGCTTTTTCTTGCATGGGAAAGTATTTATTTCTCCTTCAAGTCTAAATGATAGCCTTGCTGGGTAGAGTAATCTTGGTTGTAGGTCCTTACTTTTCACCACTTGGAATATATCCTGCCACTCCCTTCTTGCCTGCAAAGTTTCTGTTGAGAAATCAGCTGACAGTCTTATGGGAGCTCCCTTGTAGGTAACTAACTGCTTTTCTCTTGCTACTTTTAAGATTCTCTCTTTGTCTTTAACCTTTGGCACTTTAATTATGATGTGTCTTGGTGTGAGCCTCTTTGGATTCTTCTTGTTTGGGACTCTCTGTGCTTCCTGGACTTGTATGTCTATTTCCTTTGCCAGATTAGGGAAGTTTTCAGTCATGATTTCTTCAAGTAGGTTTTTGATCCCTTGCTGTCTCTCTTCTTTTGGTACCTCAGTGATGCAAATATTGGTACATTTAATGTTGTCCCAGAGATCCTGTGAACTATTCTCGTTTTGTTTAATTCTTTTTTCTTCTTGCTGTTCGGTGTGGGGTTTTCTGCTACCTTGTCTTCCAGATTGCTAATTTGATCCTCCTTCATCTAAGCTGCTTTTGATTACCACTAATGTGTTTTTCATTTCCATTACTGTGTTCCTTATTTATGACTGGTTCTTTTTTATGGTTTCTATCTCTTTGTTCAGGTTCTCAATGAGTTTATCAATTCTTCCCCTGTGTTAATTGAGCATCTTTATAACCAGTGTTTTGAACTGTATCTGGAAGATTGCTTGCCTCCATTTCATTTAGTTCTTTTTCTGAAGTTTAGTCCTATTTTTTCATTTGGGGTATGTTTCTTTGTCTCTTTATATTGGCCGACTCCCTATGTTTGTTTCTATGTATTAGGTAGATCTACTATGTCTCCTAGTCTTGGCAGAGTGGCCTTATGTAATAGGTGTCCTATGAGGCCCAGGGCACAATCTCTCTGTTCACCTGAACTGGATGCTCCAATAGTGTTACGTGTGTTCTAGTTGCACTTTGATTACTGTTGGCACATCAGTGGGTGAGATTGACCCTCAGGCTGACTGGCTGTGAGGGCTGGTCATGACTGCAGCACACAAGCTTTTGTGCAAGAACTGTCCCCACAGAGCAGGAGTAGCTTTAGCAGGGCTCTGGTGCCATCCAAGTCTACCCTTCAGGTGTGTCATTTGTGGAGCTGGTTGGGTGGTGCTCTGGTGTGTTCTGAAGCTGGCCACCAGGTGTGTTGGTTGTGCAGCCTTTTGGGAGGGGCTGCAGTGCAGGCCAAAGTTAGCTGCCATTTGGCCCAGCTTAGGGTCACCTCTGGGAGCTACAGTGTGTTCTTTGGTTGCCGCTTGTGCTGGGCTTGGAGGTGCTTGGGAGAGTCTATGCTGAGAACTAGAGGCAGGCTGCCACTAGTACTGAGCTTGGGACCCTTTTGTGGCACCATTATATGAGCCGAGGCCAGTCACCTCTTCAGCTGAGTTTGTGGCCAGTTAGTTGAAGCTATATTGCAAGCCAACACTGGCCGCAGCCTATGCCAGGCTTAGGGCCACCTGATGGAAGTTACAATACAAGTTGAGACCTGTCACCTTTCCTATTAGGCTTGGGGCTGAAGAGCAAGGCCAGCCGATGCTTGTTTGGGGTTTGTGAACCTTTGAGAGATTTTTAGGAAAGTCTGCAGCAAGAACCAAGGCAGGAGGCTCCTGTGGAAAAGCCACTACAAGCAGCTTGAGCCTGGCGTGCGAGTTGTGTAGTGTGGGGTCTCGGAATCACCAGGGTGGGGCAAATGGTGTTAGCCAGGTTAGTGGAAAGGTCAAATTTGGCACCTGCTAGGGCTTCCATCCCAGGGGAGATCCCCCACCCACTAATGCCCCTCCAGCCCTAGCTCTGAAGCCAATCAATTCAGGTCCTCCCTGTGTGTTTCTTGTGCTTTTTGATTTGGTGGAACTTAGGAACAAGTGTTTGTGAGCGAGTGAGTCTGTGTGCGGGCCATTTAAGAAGATGCCTGAGTTCCCAACAGCCCTCCATCTCACCCGGATGGAATCGCCACTATTTTCCACAGCCAGATGTTGTGGGCACTCCTCTCCCCAGTACTGGTGCCCCAGGCTGGGAAGCCTGATGTGGGGCTGGGACTCCTCATTCCTCAGGGGTACCTCCATGGCCAAGCTATCCCTTCCAGTTCTTAACCTCTACATGAAGGTGTGGGACCAGCCCATTCTGCAACTCCTCCCCTCCTACCCATCTCAAGATGGCTTCTTCTGTATGTCCTTAATATTAGGACTTCTATTCAGCTAGACTTCAAGTCGTTCTAAATGAAGGTTGTAGTTTTGATGTGTTCATGGGAGAAGGTGAGCGCAGTGTTTACCTGCTCCGCCATCTTGGCCTGAAGTCTCATCTCTCTATTGTTTTGGGTCTTCAGTTTTTCTCAGCTAGTATTACAATTTTCATTGTAAAGATCTTGCACATCTTTCATTAGATTTCTCCCTAGGTATTCAATGTTGTTTGTTTCTGTTGCAAATGGCATCATGTGAGCCCTTTGAATGCACACCCAGTATCACCCGTCCATTTCTAACACTTCTGCTCTCCATGGGCCTGAGAAACAAAGTAATAATCAGCTTTTCCTTCTCCAGGGAGTCAGTGCATCTTGTCAAACCCATCAAGGTAGAAAAGGTGTAATAGTTTCACTGCAGGAAGCCTAATTCAGAATCTAAACATTGCAGCCCAGAAATTATTCTTTTGGTCTAACCTAAACCTATCCAGTTGGCATTTCAGCTTATTTTCTTTTAGTTTGATTCACAGTTTGCCTTCCACAAAGGTTTCATATCTAGCAGTCCACTATTTGAATCATCATGCAGATATTTCTGCCATGTTTTAAAAATATGTGTAACCTTTATTAGGAGGACATTTACTCATGATACAGTATTATGTTAAAAAATACAATAAAAATCTAACATTTTTTAAATGTACGTGCTTCGATAAAAAGGTCAAAAGAAAATGCATGACAGTGGTTATCTCTGGGTGCCTAGCTTGTGGACTATTTTTTGTACATGTCTACATTTTCAAAATGTTTATGATAATCATGCACTGCCTTTGTACTAAGTAAAAAAAACCCTAGCATTTTAAAATGGAAAAACAATTAGAGCTACATATTAAAATTGCTGGCTTGAACTTCACTTTCCCCTTTCATTGTGTGAAGTCTATTAAAATTTGCTGGTGCCATTAAAACAGGTAGGCGACATATCTTAAGATAATCAAAAAAGAGAAACTTCCTTTTCAGGTGTGTTGATTCCCCTGCCAGTGCTTCTGACTAGCTATACGTTCCGCTAAGTGCTGAGAATTCGCTCCTTGCACTTGGAACCCGGCAACACCTGTTTCATTTCACACTCTCTTGATTCCTGGGTAAATCCCAGATCCACCGTGTGGGCTCGAGTTCAGTTCCTCAGTGGTCCAGATGTGTGTCCCCCCCGTCAGCTGGCCTAGTAACCCCACTGTTTATTGACAGGTTCTCAGGAATCAGATAGCTCTCAGTCTGCCAAGAAAGACATGTTGGCTGCCTTGAAGTCCCGGCAGGAAGCTCTGGAGGAAACGCTACGCCAGCGGCTGGAGGAGCTCAAGAAACTCTGCCTCCGAGAAGCTGTAAGCAGTTACCATTTCATCCCGGGGAAATCTGTGTTGTCTGTGCCCTCATCTGTCTTCCCATATTTATAAACGGCAATGGTGGGGATTATACAGAAAGCGTAAGAGGGAAGCACAACCTCTCCTGATACACAAATATGGGAAACGCCCAACCCCTGGCATGTCCCCCATCAGAAACAGTAGTGGACATTCGTGCGACACTAGGAGACCAGTTAAAGCGGGTTCTCTCAAAGTCCCAAGTGGGGCCCCACTAGAGGCCAAATGACAAGTAATAATAACTGTCATGGTAGCCCCTGTAAATAATAACGGTGTTTGCATGGTGCCTCTTAGTTCATGAAGCATCTCCTCCTACGATCTTACCTCCTGGAATATAATGGCTTGCCACCCTCTTCTGAAGATTTTCTGTCTGAGTTTACTGTTGTGATGACTTTCGTTTCTCTTAAGGCTGTTTAAGATTTATCTTTGGAAATTATACTGAGAAGCATCACTGGGGATCAACAAGGAAACCAGGATTTCACTTGCTATATAATCCCCTTTAAAACTCATCATCTAGAATGACACTCTTTTTTGAAAAAAATGAAACCTTCGCCTGGTGATATTTTTAAGTTTTATGCAAGCCCGGTACACACTGGTCTCCAGTTTCATTGGGATTCAGAGGCTGCGACAGGCCACCATTGTATTTATTTAAATGTTCATTTCCACCTTCCTCTGTTTATTCCACAGCTCTCTGTTAGTATGCTTGAAGAACTGAATTTTCAATGCAACACACATTACTGTGCCTGCGTGTGTGCGTGCACGCGTTTGTGCATGCACGCGTGTGTGCATGTGCTTGCACACGGAGATTATAGTCCACGTAACATTACACAGAGCTGTGGTGTAAACAGTTGAGAGTGGGAAATGTAAAGAGGTTCCCAAACTGTAGTCCCCTCCCCCAAATCCTAGTGCCTTGCTGCAGACAGAATGAACAAGGGGCCGTAGAGTGAGATCACATTACATTTCAACTTGGCTTAATTACGCTCTGGATTGATTTAAACCGGAGCCAGCTCAAAGCAGACCCCCATTCACACAAACCCATTGCAAGCCTTAGGAAATCAAGTGGCCTGGCTGGAGGGGATGGGCTCTGTGGTGCCGTTAATATTAGCAACCTTTGCATAAAGAACGTGCTGGAAGGGTTGGAAAAATACAGGTTTGGGTGTCTGCGTTTAATAATTTGTAAAGCCTTATTTTGTTTTTAATGGAGGCAGTGTCCCTAAGCCCAGCAGGGAGCCAGCCTAAGAGAACTGGAGAAACATGGCAGGGCAAGGTTAGCATGCGTTAAGAAAGGCCTCACTGTCTGCCTTAAAAATAAAAACAAACTAAGGAAAACAAAGCTCCAGCTTCTTACAATGCTGACAGCAGAAAACAGGACTTGAGCGGAAGAAATAACCTCACTGACCGCAGGCAGACTGCTCCTGGGCTGGCTCCCACCACTGCGTCCCCACTCATCTCCTCATCTGTGATCAGTGAGGGGAGAGCCTTCTAGCTCTGGGTTCCATATCACACACACCGCACCCCTCAGCTCAGAATATGGAGAAGCACTCTTTGTCCCTTGGGGAGCCAGCGGGGCAGCCAGAACCAGGTGGAGTGGGAGCATTTGGCAGAAATAACAATAGAAGAGGAACCGAGCCAAGCCCCCACACCAGTGCATGAAATTCCTCCTTCCCCACGTGGCTCTGGTTACAAGTGAAATCAGATTAAATGTGGAGAATCGAGGCCTTGACTCAGATACCTTCAAGCAGATGGTGAAAAATCAAGTAGCCCCATTTTTTTAACATATTTTGTTTTTAAAGCCACAGGTATTTTAGACTTACAAATCAGTGGCCATGTTAACAACTTGCCCCTACTTTTTTTTTTATAAGTTTCAGGGAGAAAAAGAAAGTCCTAACATTATAAAATCCTCAGTATGTGTGTTATTTATAGGCTGACTTTTAGGGAAGGAGATGAAAACATTGCAGAATAAACATATAAAGACTTTGGTTACATTTGAACCATGAGAGCGAGAGAAGGAAGGGGAGAGGGAGGGAGGGAGGAAGGAAGGAAGGAAGGAAGGAAGGAAGGAAGTTAGTTAGTTACAGAACACTTCATACTCAGATAGTTGGTCATTGTGCTCTGAAATGCTTACAGTGAGGAATGAAAAGGCCATGAGTTCGCTTCCCCGAGGCCTGAACACAGGAGGGAAGGGGCGCAGGGGAACAGGGAGTGGGGTGCTTGTGCATGCCATTGCACGTACCCATACACCCCAGTGCGTTTGTGTACACACACTCCAGAGCACACACACACCAGTGCACACACAACCCTGTGCACACACGTACACAATTTCTCCAGGGCGTGCACACCCCCCCCCAGTGTGAGCGTGCACACGCACAGAGTGGTGGGCAAGAAGGCCCAGGTCACCCCTCGTCTCAGCATTTGGGCCAGCGCCTGGAATCTGTTGGTTGGGGATACTGACAGTGGGCCGCCCAGCACAAAAGCTTTTTGTGTGAATGAGGGACTGCGAGTTCTTCTTGAGTCCGTGCAGCACAGGCGTTGGTTTGGGACTAGAAACCAGGGCTGGACTTTTTGCCTGGAGGTACCAGCTGTGCCATTGGAGGCGCACAGTGGCTCCCCCAGGGTTTCCTGGTCCCCTGGAAGTGACTTCTTGCAGCTGATGCCTTGGCTTCACCACGTGGATTAGCTGCTGACTCAGGTTTGATCTTTACTCTGCCCAGGCACAGCCCCTCTCACAGAGCCCAGTGGCTCAGTGCCACTTCAGACTCATTCCATGGACCTCATTGTTTGCAGGATCAGTGTCACTATGGCGGTCTGTCAACTAAGTTCACCATCAATATCCTCACGGCAATTAGATTTCCAGAGCCCAAAATACACAACAGATCTGTTTTAACAAACTTATCAATAATATGAGTTGTGTTTCCAGTGTCTACTGAAACTCTTATTTGTATACATTTAATACCAGCCTGTTCCCTGAGCATCTGGCCTGAGTGGAATTATCATTTTTGGTTTCTAATTTCCATCATATGCATTTTTCTGGGATTTGCCATCTAGATACCACTCTTCCTAAGAAAGCCTGTTTGAAAGCCGTTTTGATCTGAGATAATTGTGACGGAATATTTGACACACAGGAAAGAGTGCAGGAGCTGGAAAGCCTGGAGATCACGTGTTGGCTCTGCCCCTGACTGGCTGTGCAGCCCCGCCTCGCACACAGTGGGCACACAGGAGACTCTGGGGAAACTAGCAAATGAATGAAATGCAGGTTTTACGATGAACACCAAGGGCGATTTTATTTGTCTGACAGATTTACTTTGGGAAGAACTCCTGAAGTGCGTCTGTTCTGTAAAGGACTGCTCGCGTCCAGGTTTAGAACAACGAAACCATGTTGCAGAAGCTTATTTAGGCATTTTGCTTAAGAATACTGTTTTGGATCTGTGCATTGAAGTGTGTGTCTTCAAGCAGTGCCCCGCTCTGATCCATCCTCTCCTCCTGCTGCTGCACATTTAGGAGCTGACAGGCAAACTGCCCGTGGAATATCCCCTGGATCCCGGGGAGGAACCACCCATTGTTCGAAGGAGAATCGGGACAGCCTTCAAACTGGATGAACAGAAAATCCTGCCCAAGGGAGAGGTGCGTCCTTCTTTCTGTGGCTGGATTCTCTCGCGTTATCTCCTGTTTTCTCATTTGGTGGGGCTTCCCGGTTTTCTGTAACAGTTTCTTTCTTCTGCCCAGAGCTGAACGCCCTTTCCCACTTCCTCCCAAGGTTCTTTCCTCTTGCCTCTCGTTGCGGTTGCGGGTTGGTCAGTATGTGGCTCCCTTGGTAGGAATGGTTTGCTTGCGTTCATAAGCATCTTCATTTTAGTGGACGTTGTCTGTCTGACGCGATAGGCCTTTTGCAAGCTGCTGAGTTAATCCTGGGAGAACATTCTAATACCACCACATGTCCTTTCAGTGGCCTCCCAGCCCTTTATTAACACAGAGCCAAGCGTAATGTCTGAGCTATGGAAGAAAACCAAAGAGGAAGGAAAACGTAAGCCATGCCAACAAGGGGCAAGGATGCCACTGGCTGGGTCTTCCCTTGGTGGTCCCAACTTCCACCTGCTGCTAAAATCATGCCCGGGTGTGAGCAGGATGCCGGCTCCTCCTGGCCCCACTTGTCTGTTCGGAGGAGCCATTGAAGCATCTTTCATTTCTCCTCTCTGGATGAAACAGCGGTGGGACCGAGACTTGGAGGGTTCAGATTTGGGGTGGGGGAGGGGGAGACTTGGTTGGGTCTCCAGCTGGTTAATAACTTATCCAGCCTCAGCCCAAGAGAAATTCAAGGCCAGGTATACCTTTAGGCCTCCGGGGGTCGTATCCAGGAAATGTCTTTCCAAATTTATTCTGAATAAAGTTACTCATTAAAGTGCTTTTGAACAGAGGGCTTGAAAGGGCAGCAGTCAAAGCCAATGGAGAAGGGAATACTGTGCGTGTCTAGTCTTTTAAAAAAGTGACTGGGAGAAGCCGACGCTCTCACATAACACCCCCGGGGGGAGAGCGTGAAGGTGAATCCACAGGAACACAGGCGCCCTGGAGCCAGTAGAAGGGGTGGACCAGTCCCCCGAGATCTGCACTAGCAGGTCCCTAGGGGCTGGTGGCCACACCAGAATGCTGCACCCAAATCTAAAGCTTCATCAGGCAGTTTCCTCTTCTGTAAAATGAAGTTCAAGGTCCTTATTCCTTTGTGCCAAGGATTAAATGAGCCAGCAAATGGAGGAAATGTAGCTCAGGTCTTGACGGCTCCTTGAGGTGTGAGGATGGGTGAGATTTAGGAGACCGTGTGGGTATATCTTCTTCAAATCTGCTTTCATTGGAATTGCCTGAGGAACTTTCTCTCCTTGTGCTGGGCAGACACCAGGCACCCAGTGTTTACGAGGAGACCCCACTTTAGTAATGTCCCCATTGTCTTTCCCACCGTAACGTGCGCGCGCGGGTACACACACACACACACACACACACACACACACACACACACACACACACACTCACACACACACACACTCTGCATCTTCTCACTAGCTCCTCCTCCATACTTATCAGTGAAAGATGCCATTGGGTTCCCGATAACTCCATGTGCATCCATCTTCTTTACCTGTCCTTGCACGTGTCATTCCGAAACCCCTCAAAGGAAGGACCACAGAATTGGCTGGTGCACTGCAGAGTTCCCCTGGGGAGGAAGAGCTCCCCATTTCTCCCAGAAACACGCTTGGCGGCCTGTTCACACAGCAGGCGGCCATTTGTGCAGACAGGGCCACCAGCCTGTGCTTGTCTCAGTTGAAGTAGTGAGAATTTGTCCTCGGCGCCCACAAAACTTTGGGGCAATGCCTTGAACCAAGGAACAGTCACACTCACAGGTCAGTCTGTGTCCCTGGAGACTTGTTTGTTTCCAGGCTGTGAGCAGGAGTCCACCCTGATATTCTTCTCCCGCCCAGAGAACGAATGCAGCCAGCATTGGAAGGACCTGGAAGGAGTTCATTATGACCTAAATAGTTCCGTTTGATCTTCACCTTTCCCTCTCACTCCTGGTCCCTGTTCCCTTCAGGCTCAAAAGGAGATCAAGCTAAGAGTTCTGTGCTGGACAGAGGCCCTGGCCTGGTTTGTGGTGCCCAGTGGCCAGTTTTACCCGGCCACTAACTAGGAACACCTGTTGACTCGGCAAACTTGGCCACGTGCTCCTCCAAGGCTGGATGAGTTCCTGTCAGACTTTGGCGTGACCATGGGTCACCTAGGGCAGGCTATGGTGTGCTCTGTCAGCCTCATGGGTCAGACTTAAAGAAGCCACGAGTTGCAGAAAGGCCAGCAGCAAATGCGCTGCCCTGGGTTTTGTCCTGTGGGTCCACCAGGCTTTTTCTGACACCGCTTCATTTTTCTTGGGACCAAAAGTCTGTTTGAGGAAAAATTCATGCATCTGCTGTTCTGGCCAAAGTAAGGGGTAGAGGTGGAGGGAAGTGCCCAGGGAGAGGAAGGAGACTGTCCTGTGCAACCTTAGGGGTAGGGGACACTGGCCCCCCTCGCCACCCGCCACCCGCGCCTCACAGCCCAAGCAGAGCTGTTATGAGTAGCTAGTGAGAAGGACACTGGGGCTCACAGAGAGGGCTCCCAAAGGGACATGGGTGAGGGGGGATAACCCAACATGAAGGGCTCAAAAATGTGGGACGGGTGAGCAGGAGGGAGGGAGATGCACACATGGGACGTCCCCGTTTGCAGACCCACAGACAAGCAGGGCAGTGTCCAGCATGGAAAGCAAATGCCACCCAGAGGGGTCTGAATTTCCACGAAGGCTCTGTCTTCAGGAACCCTGCTGGAGACGGTAGAAAGGAAGTCAGGCCACCCCAAGCTTGTGGCACAGGGATTCTTTGCTTCTCAGTGATGGTGCCAGTGCAGGGACCATCACTTGTCTCTAGACTGGAACAGGGGCCAAGGATCCGAAAGTGAGTGTGCCCAGGGCACCAGCTGCCAGAGATTTTAGTAGCGGCACCACTGGCAGGTCAGGCAAGGTAGGGGTTAGGCACTGGGACTGCTGGGTTCCTAGTGCACGTGCTCCCCAGGAGTAAGGAAGGCTGGCTGGCCGTGGGTCAGGGGCGGGGGTGAGGGGGACAGGTCCTCCTGCCCAGCATCCTCTAAGTATAAGCCATGGCCCTCCCGCCCACAGGAAGCTGAGCTGGAACGCCTGGAACGAGAATTTGCCATTCAGTCCCAGATTACAGAGGCTGCCCGCCGCCTCGCCAGTGACCCCAACGTCAGCAAAAAACTGAAGAAACAAAGGAAAACCTCTTATCTGAATGCACTGAAGAAGCTGCAGGAGATTGAGAATGCAATCAACGAGAACCGAATCAAGTCTGGGAAGAAGCCCACCCAGAGGGCCTCGCTCATCATCGACGGTCAGTGCTGAGTCCCCTCCCCATAGCAGGCACACTGCCCTCCTGCCCCAGGGAGTGGGCACCAGTCCTGTGAGTGAGCCGAGAGCCCAGCTCACCACGTGACCTACGCATAACCACCCTGTGCCTTCGTTTTTCCATCCATAAAATGAAGCTACTAAGGCTTGAGGCCAGATGAGAGTACTGAAGTGCACTCAGGTGCAGACATGAAAGGGTTATGCCAATCAAACTATCATTATCACTATTTATTGCCTCCCTGAGAGAGCCTGCAGCCATAAGCGAAACCCCCCTCCCCGTGAGCTGAGCCCAGTTAAATGTGCAGCCCCAGCCGTGCCCGGCTCTGACATTCTCAGGGACCTGGTCAGCCTACCCCAGTCTGGAAGGAAAGGTGGGGGACTGGGCTACACTGCAGGCCAACACCCCTCCCAAGCCTCTGTCCTGTCTGTCTCAGGGACTCCTGTCCCAGGGCTGAAGCTGGGGACACTGGGCCGCCCACTCTGATTGTCTAGAGCCCTGAACATGGTTCAGAGGGGTTAGGAGTTTGGGTGATTATATTTGGTAAACACTAGAAGAAGGACCCCCAAATCTACCAACAGCCATCAAGTCCCCCCAAGTTGTTACACGCTTTTTTTCCTAAGTCAGCCAATTCTTTGAAATGCATACCACGTATTTTCATCATTTATACACATTTAAAACACTTTCGCTCCAGGAAAACAGAAAGTACAATGGAGGTTACCAGGGGCAGAGGTGAGGGGATGGGGGGGAGTTAGTGCTTAATGGGTGCAGAGTTTCAGTTTGGGATGCTGAAAAGTTCTGTGGATGGATGGTGGTGATGGTTATACAACAATGTGAATGTACTTAGTGCCACTGAACTGTACAGAAAAAAAAATGGTTAAAGTGGTAAATTTTATATATATTTTACTGCAATTTTATATGTGTGTGTGTGTATCACTGCAATTTTATACACACACACACACACACACACACACGAACCTAAAAATGTGGGCCTCCTGGGGAAACAGCGCTGCACCAGAGTCTCCTAGATTCCAAAGTCAAGGCTCTCTATCTCCTAGGCGTTTACAGTCCATCGAGCAATATGAATAAAGTGAATTTCTGGTTTAAAAAATGAGAGAGAGAGAGAGAGAGAGAGAGAGAGAGAGAGAATAAAAAATCCTTTTGCTCTAGGAAATTTGGAATAACCAACTTTCTCCATCTCGCCCTGTTATCCTTGGCTGAGACGTTGTCCCCTTCCCCGCACTTCCTAACAGAGCTGCAGTCCCCAGCCCTTCTCTGTCTGATGCCTCTTCTGAGACGTCCTTCTGTTTTCCTGAAGGCACTCGGGGGTCCTGGCTCGAAGAAAACATCCAGTGTGGCCAACAGAGCCAAGTCTGGAGGGCGCTGCAGGGATAGGCGTCTCGCTGGTTGGCCACAGAAGAGCCTGGCTCTCCAGCCAGCCCAGTGAGGGCTATCCTGTTAGAGCTGCCAACACTCTGTTTTTAAATCATTATCTGTGCTAACTGGTGACTGACTGGTCCCATCGAAGACTGCAGCCATTTGTTTTAGCCACTCAAGAATACATCGTCTCTATTTTGCTGCCTCACTGAAATAATGTTTTCATCACACGAACCCATTTGAATTAGAGGAGCAGTTAAGATTCTTCTTAGTTCCTTAGCATGGTTTTTTATTTCAAGAGGTAAAACACTGAACTTAGCATCTGAAGAACTGGGACCATGTGGCCAGGAGAGCAGAGAACCCCGGACAAACCTGCTCCCTAGACGTACCTCAGTTTCTCCAACTGTTAAAATGGGAGGATTATCTTACTGTTTCCCTCTTGGGCATATGCTCATGGTTAATTGATTGTTGTCTACGAAAATAAGCTTTGGAGAGAGAGAAGCTGTATTTAGCAGCTTGTTTTCTCTACCAAAGACTTAAGAAGTTTATTGAGAAGCCATTTATTGCCCTGTGAGCAAAGCCATGCTCCTTACCCTGGTTTCACTTTCATAGAACAAATAGCAGTTCACTTTCTTTGGTTCAGTCAGCAGAACATGCCGTGGGATTGGGCTGGGGCAGGCGTGGCCTAACCAGGCCCGGCAACCTTTATACTGGTTGTTAAGCTACTCAGCATTGTGGTGTCCTGTGAAACAAGAGAACAAAGACTGGGCACACTGCGGTATCGGGTAGGGGCGTGAGCCAGTGACCCACCACGGGGTCTGTCAAAAGAAATGCCCGACAGCATTTTTATTGTTATTTCATGGGTTCTTTCTGATGAGAAAGAGAAGGATACGGGATGGTGCGAAACAAATGATTTTGACAGATAAGGCCTATCTAAGGGATGTGCTAGACTCTCAGACTTCTACCTTTTGTCTTCTCAGATGGAAATATTGCCAGTGAAGACAGTTCCCTCTCAGATGCCCTTGTTCTAGAGGATGGTAAGTTGTCCGTTTCCTGCGTGAGAAGGGGGCACAGATTCACCTGGGATTAGGCTGTGTGTGGTCTGGGACAGGTCACTCTGAAGGCAAGAGCCGGGCCAAGATGGCAGCCGGGTTCCCTGCAATTCTCTCATTTCTCAGTAGTCACCGAGTTGGGGGGAGTGGGTGGCACCACCTAAACCATGTCTATTGGAGTTTTAGTATTTCCTGTGGCTGAAAGGTAAGATGTAAGGTGCTCTTCAGTGAGTGGTACTTTGCATTTTTCTTTGCCAAAATCACATTTTTAACTCAACAGAGAATCTGAACACCATACATAGTTTCCTTTTGAGTTTTCATAATTTCTGGAGGAAAGAGGCAGACATTGGTTTGGACCACAAATCAAAGATTGAAACCTGCTAGGAGAGCCGGAGGGCAGCAGGAAAAACAGAAGTGACTCCCCCACCTGGACTGCCCAGCCCACCGCCACACAAAGAGGAAGAAACGCTTCCAAACACAGGACCATCTCCAAGAGTGTTCCTGCAGATTTAACCCCTGGCTCACGAAGCCAGGGCATTAATGACATGGAAATATATTAAATGGCAGTTAATTTTTTTGCCCCGTAGGGAAACCTCAGGCGGGCAGTGATAAGTGGCTATTCAGATGGAAAACATCACAGGTCCAGCCAAGTCAGAGTAATGAGGATAATTGCAAGAATAATAATAATTGCTGTTGATGTGGGGAAGGCTGGCAGGTTATTTACCCAGTTGTCTCGGCCCTGCTATTAGCAATCAGATCCTAATATTTTTATTGTCAGCTTCGTTACATGGGTGGAGAGGAAGTGGGGCTTCAGGGGAGCTGGGGGGCTGTGTTTTCAATATCAGAGATCCAGCCCTCGTTTTGGCCTCTTTGGACTTCAGTCTCTCCAGGGGAGGGAACAAGAACGATTGACTGCGATTCCTTTGAAACAGAGGAGTTAGGGAAGTTGTATATTGTCATTGGCTAATTTCGATGCATTATTTATGATTAGTTTCTTTCCTGGTGTCCCAGGCCCCCAGACTACCTAGGGGCATTACTGCCTCACTTGAACCCCTCCACAGACATACTCCCTTTGCAGACTCGCTCCTTCTAGGGGCTCTTGACTGATTTGAGGGGTTCAAGATGAGTGGAAGTAGAAGGCATGCCCATGTTTCAAGGATGGGGGGTTGAGTAGAAGACTGTGAAAAGAATACTAGTTGGAAATAGATTTGGGTGAATTGTTGTTGAGAATTGAGGTTTGCTTCTGGGTATTTTCCCCCTCAAACTGCCCCCTCTGCTTCACAAGGGACACTGAATTTCTCCTGCCTGTCTCTGCTCGGTGCCGCCCTCCCCTGGGCTCTCAGTACTGGATTTCTTCCTTCACCTGCTCCTAGCCCTCTCCTGGCTTTGCCAACTTTTGAACCGTGCCAGATGACTAGTTCTTAAACAGGGTTTTCATCTCGACACATCCGTGCTTAAGGAGTTGCAAAGGTTTCTTGTGGCTTTCAGACTGAATCTTGACTCCTTAGCCTGGAAGTAGCCCCATTAGCAGGGGCGCCTTATCTTGGTGCGCATAGTAGGTTTGCTGAACTTGCATTTGAGCAGAGCCCCTCCTCCCCAGCTGCTGTCCCAGCTGCACATGGATGGCCCTGGGCTCTTCCTTCCTCCTCTCTGTCCACAGCTGAGGTCCCTTCCGGACCAGGCTCGCCCACAGCTCCTTCCTTGACTAAGTTCGCCTTCTCCGAAAGTGCTACAGCACATCTATGTGTTAGAGTGCTACTCCTCTGAGGGCGGCCACAGACCTTCTGTTCATCTGTAATCTTTGTCGCCCCCATCTCCTTCCCAAAGAACCTAAAGCCATCCCAAAAGAAAACTATATGCGAACATATTCAAAGACAATTATGTAGATAGTGCTGAAAAAAGCAGAGGACATACCTAGAGCCACCAGCAGATGGTTACACTCAACAGATAGGCTTTCATTCATTTTTTTCCTGACAGATGTTTATTGGGCACCTACTATGTGTCAACAGTCATTTTAGACATTGAGGATATAGCAAGGGACAAATCAGACAAAATTCTCATGGAGCTGAAACGCCCCAAAGCAGATTAGACATGTCCTGTCTATTGAAAGAAAACTTAGAATAATGATGACATTTTGCTGTTTGGTGTGAAGCAATCATGTCGATGGTATTTAATGAAATTCAGACTTTACTCCATTTGTAGCTAATCAGCATCGAAACTTCTCTTCCCATTTAATGCTGCTCAAAGTTTAGGTTTTGTTTGTCCTGGATTGACTTGTCTTGGCAACTGGGGAAGTGTCATGGGGCACCTTCATGAGTGGCTGCGGATCTGGCTCCTAATGTTGGTGTCGGGACAGAGGTGGGGTGGGGGGTCTCTCTGGGGTCGGTGGGAAGGATGACCCTTGCTCAGTTCCTCTCTTTCCATCTTTGTGCAGAAGACTCTCAGGTCACCAGCACACTGTCCCCCTTACAGTCTCCTCACAAGGGACTCCCTCCTCGGCCACCGTCGCACAACAGGCCACCTCCTCCCCAGTCCCTGGAGGGACTCAGGCAGATGCACTATCACCGCAACGACTATGACAAGTCACCCATAAAGCCCAAAATGTGGAGTGAGTCGTCGTTAGATGAGCCTTACGAGAAGGTCAAGAAACGTTCCTCCCACAGTCATTCCAGGTGAGCTGGGTCAGGAAGACCACAGGAGGCCAGGGTCAGTGCTTTTGAAAGCATCAGGCTGTCCCAAATAGCATCCACAAATGACAAAATCCAAATCAACCTATCTCCTCCTTCCTGGGCTTGCCGATCAACAGGGCTGTGCTCACAGCGCCCTCTGCTGCTGACCCTGCCGAGGTGCAGATTTGTCATCCAAAGGGAAATTGGGGTTTTGGCTCACATAATCAACGTGTTGGCAGATGGCTTTAATGTCAAATTCCACAGGAATTAATTAGGAAGTTTTGGGCAGCACTATTCCAAAATGGCAAGTGAGCATCTACTCGTAGGAATCCCAAAATGGTTCAGAACCCTAACTTACCAGCCAACAGAATTCTGGAGCCAAACAGCTGTAATCTTAGCTGTGCGTTATCAGCTCATTACTCGGCTGATTGTGGAGAGAAGGTTTTGGAAGGCATTTTTGGTCTGCTTCTCTGCTTTTCTCATTTCCTTTAATTATACCCTATAAAGTTCCAAGTGGGTGCCCAGACAGGTAAATATTGTCTCTTGGAAAACAGAATCTGTGGCTGAGGGCTTCATGGAATAGTCACGCTGCTGGTTCCAGCAAAGGCTGACAAGGGTCTTCATCTCATATTACCCTTGGGGTCAGAGACAAGGACCTCCCCCACCCCAAGCCCCCATCCCCACCTTGTTCTGTGGGAAAGGCTGAGAGCCAGAGGAGAGATCTGAGGGAGTGTGGATGGGAGTCGCAGGCAAGCTTTCCCAACACCAAGACTGATGTCCCAGGGTTAGTCAGCCTCCCCGGAGCAGGTGCGCTTCTGCCTGGCGGTAACCAGCATGGCCTCTCTGATTTGCAGCAGCCACAAGCGTTTCCCCAGCACGGGGAGCTGTGCTGAAGCAGGAGGGGGAAGCAGCTCCCTGCAGAACAGCCCCATCCGCAGCCTCCCTCACTGGAACTCACAGTCCAGCATGCCGTCCACCCCAGACCTGCGCGTCCGGAGTCCCCACTACATTCATTCCACAAGGTGAGTCCACCCGGTCCTTGGGCCACTCCCTCCCTGGACCAGACCTTTCTTTGTGAACTTGGGCATCGCTGACCCCCAACTGGCCCAGACAATAGGTGAACTAGAGTCAGGCCTGAGCCAGTGAGGTAGATTGTCCTTAAAATGAAGCAGCGTGAAAAACTAAGCTGGCAATGGTGAGCCCAGATTAGCCAAGAGACCCAATCTACCCACTGTCCATACCCAGTGGGCACTAGGAGTCGGCCGGAGTCCCCTGCGGACAGTGGGCTGGGAGGGGCTTTCCTAACAGAAATGCAGACAGGAAGGGCTAGCTGGACTAGCGGGGGCCACATCTGGCCAGAATAACCTTGCGCCGATAGGGCGATCTTTACTGGATAGTCCTCATGTAGCTCTCTACAGGGGCCAACATTTATCCTCGACTTAATGCCTCAAGGTGTAAATTCAATAAAGAGCAAAAGAAATGAGCAAAATGTGGGCTCCAGTGAATCACACCTTCATTTTCTACAGAGGCAAAACCAAAGCCATCATTCCATTTTATCAAAAATGAATTCACAGGGATGATACCTCCAAGGACAGATGGTGTGATAGTCCGTAAATAGTGAACCGTTTTATGTGGGATAAGATGGAGCTTTTCACGCATGATTCCCTCACTCATTCATACATGCATTCACGCAAAAAATATTTATGAAGTGCCTATATGTACTTGGTACTGTTCTAGGGGACAGAGCAGTGAAACAGAAAACAGACCACACCCCTGCTCTCATCAGATTTGCGGTGTAGTTGGGAGAGAGTCCTAATAAAGAAATCTATGTCAAGTGGTGATAGGCACTAAGAAGAAAACTGGACAGGGCCAGGGACTAGAGAGTGACGGGGCCAGCCCTCTTTTAAGTAGAAGCCTTGGAGAAGGCCTGTGTAGTAAGGTGAACGTAGAGCAGAGAACTGATGGATGAGGAGCCAGCTCTGAGGATAGCTCAGGGAACAGCAAGGTCAAAGCCCTGGACTTAGGCCTGCACTTGGCATGTTCCCAGGGGGCCAGAATGGCCAGGACAGAGGGATGGAGGGGAGTGGGACCAGCGAGATAACCAGGAATCCAGGCGTGGAGGTCTACCTGGGCAGGACCTCGCATTCTCCCCTGGGTGACAGTCAGAGCTGGAGCCCTCCTCTTCCTGTACTTGGCCACCCTGAATTGCACATGTGGCCCTAGCATTGTCTGTCCCTGCAATATTGCTGGATACTTACATTGTGGACTCAGATAAGCAGTATGGATTATAAACAAAGTAAGCAGCCTGGTAAGTATTTGCATCAGTCATTTTTTTAAGTGTTCCACTAAACTTCCATTTTAGTCTTAAACAGGAAATGGAAATGTTTATGTGGGTTTCATAATTGTATTTGGTTGAACTATATGAAGTGCCCCTGCTGGACTGATTTTGACCTACAAAAATGGGCATTTCATCTGCTTTAACTAGAATAGGCATTCTCTTGGCTCTCATTGTATCTAAAGAATCTCTTCCCACTTTTCAAAAAAAAAGAAAAGCTCTGGCTATTGGCATAGACTTTTCAGAGGAAACCCTTATGTGGGCGCGTCTTCAATCCCACCTCCCACTGGGAATGAATAACCACAGCAGAGGCCAGCTGGCCTCCAGGGATCAGCCGCGCCCTCCCGCCCCCAGCTTCACCTGGGAACAGTGGGAAGCCCCTGGATTCCCAGGGCAACCCCGCTTTGGCTGTTTCCTAACCTCGCGTTTGCAGGAGGCTCTGGGCGGGTGGCATTCTGCTCTTTCCTAAGTCTGACTGCAGAGTCCCTACCCAATCCCGCCCCCAGGCGCCCCTCCCTTGGTCCCCCAGACCCACCGGCCGTCTCCCCGCAGGTCGGTGGACCTCAGCCCGACGCGCCTGCACAGCCTCGCCCTGCACTTTCGGCACCGGAGCTCCAGCCTGGAGTCCCAGGGCAAGCTCCTGGGCTCGGAGAACGACACAGGGAGCCCCGACTTCTACACCCCACGGACTCGCAGCAGCAACGGCTCAGACCCCATGGACGACTGCTCGTCCTGCACCAGCCACTCGAGCTCGGAGCACTACTACCCGGCGCAGATGAACGCCAACTACTCCACGCTGGCGGAGGACTCGCCGTCGAAGGCGCGCGCGCGGCAGCGGCAGAGACAGCGGGCGGCGGGCGCGCTGGGCGCGGCGAACTCGGGCAGCATGCCCAACCTGGCGGCGCGCGGGGGCGGCGGGGGCGCGCCCGGCGTCTACCTGCACAGCCAGAGCCAGCCCAGCTCGCAGTACCGCATCAAGGAGTACCCGCTGTACATCGAGGGCGGCGCCACGCCCGTGGTCGTGCGCAGCCTAGAGAGCGACCAGGAGGGCCACTACAGTGTCAAGGCGCAATTCAAGACCTCCAACTCCTACACTGCCGGCGGCCTGTTCCGGGAGAGCTGGCGCGCCGGCGACGAGGGCGACGCGGGCCGCCTGACGCCGTCGCGCTCGCAGATCCTGCGGACTCCGTCGCTGGGCCGCGAGGGCGCCCACGACAAGGGCGCGGGGCGCGCCACCGTGTCGGACGAGCTGCGCCAGTGGTACCAGCGCTCCACCGCCTCGCACAAGGAGCACAGCCGCCTGTCGCACACCAGTTCCACCTCCTCCGACAGCAGTTCCCAGTACAGCACCTCCTCCCAGAGCACCTTCGTGGCGCACAGCAGGGTTACCCGGATGCCCCAGATGTGCAAAGCCACGTCAGGTGAGATGGGGACGTGGGGGACGCGCGTTGACTCATTTCAAGTGCTTCCAGATTTTCCTAGAGCCTTGTTCCTAGAACAAGAGTCCATGAATTCTAGAAACGTAGCTGTCAGATGTGTGCAACTTGAGGCTTTCGTCCCCCTCTTCCACCCTCTCCCATTCTGGCTCTGGTTTTGCCGAGTGACAAAGACCTCGGAGGGGTCGGGACAGCGCGTCTGACTCTCCCGAGTGTGCTGGGCCAGCTGGCTCCCATTTCAGCGTCCTCAGAAGGGGTGTAAACCGTTCCTGCAACCACTTTTCCTGGAAAGAACAGAAATCAAAGAAGTTAGGTGAAGTTGTGTCTAAGGGTTTTATCTAGCAAGCAAAGGCGCACCTGACCCTGGCATAGAGTGAGACACTAGTAAGATAGAGGCCTGGGTGGCACCTTGTAGAGGAAGGCTTGCTTCCCGCCTCAGCTTGGTCTTGAATTTCCGAGACTTGGCCAGTATGTGCCCAGGTGGGGACGGCTAGCTCAGGACCAGAGTGCGGAGCGCTGCACTTGA